TTAATTTATAGCTTAACGACAACCGTAACAATAATGATAATATTAAAATCGTATTATAAGTATATAAAAGGTATGCACAGTTACAACAGGTAGTATAATTATAATATGAAGTCGTTAATTAAATAATCAATTATTACATGTTTTATAACACAATGTATTTTCATTTCATAATGTTATTTTAATGTTACAAAATAATAGTTGATGGGAAAAGATTTTGATCTGTTGGTCCTGAAGTGAAATGCGTCGGGGGGTCACAGCCCGCCGCCGCTCCTCTCGACGGTGATCTTCTTCTTGAGCGCCTCCTTCTCGTGGTGCTCCTCCTCCATCTCGGCCATGCGCGCGAACCGCGAGTACGCCACGTGGCCCGACTTGATGGCCGACATCATCTGCGCATACGATTTAACTATGCTTATGAAATAGGCTCCGTACAAAATTCAAGATATTACAATGAAAGCAGCATCGCGTTTAGAGATCGCCATAAACGTAACGTTATAAAGAAATAAAGCTTTTTATTTTCTTATCGATATTTTTTTTATTAGGAATAAACTCCAAAACCTCCCTAGAGCTGACAAAACGGCCACATCTTAGCTATTCAAATGCCAGTAGGAATGTGAGTGGCCGGCCAACGAATGGTTAAAGGCCCAACATCTGATAACTCGCATTACTACTAGTAAATAAATAAATGCTATTACAAAGCAATTGAATAAATAGTATTGTTGTTACCAAAAGTGATAGTTATTTATTTGCAATGCACGTAAAATATTATGAAATTAATAAATACTAAAGTTTTTTAAATGAGCATGCAATTTATGAGTAAGACACAGCACCGATTTAATAGTATATTTTCCCTACGTTACAACACTACGTTTATGAAAAACAATTATAAGCCATGCAGTTGCATATTATTCAATATAAAATTCATTATAAAAATCTCGTAAAGTGCAAAACAGGTACACGTTAGTTGAGCGGCAGTACATTGTATCTAATCATATATTAATGTAAGGTAGTAATATAATATTAATTAAGCAGATACATAAGACAATCCAGACAATCCATTTCAAACAGTCGATATTGTAGTACGGTAAATACATATTTATTTAAAAGAAAAATATCATGCGTTTGGCTAGATTTTATCTGACCAGAATTAGAATGTTCCCTTAGTATGCGACTCGGGTATCGCGAGATACGCGCGGTGTACTTATATTTGTGTATCGCGAGATAAGAGAACGCGCCACGAAAATACTTTGGTCTGGGATAACCCGGGGGTAGGTGTTGATTATGGTTTAAGTGAAACTTCTCTATGGCATGTATGGCTGCAAGTTGATATCTATACGGTTTAAACACTCAAGTAAAAAAACATTGAAGTGAAAAAGCTCCAAGAGAATAGCGATGTGTAAGAAATCGTAAATTGTACCTTTCCGTCTCGGAAAAATAATTGATATTGAATTTTTTTGGTGTTTTGGCTAAAAAGGTGAAATCTTGAGTATTTGTTAGGAATAATGGTTTTATTGTTTGTATTGTTAGAGAGAGAGAAAGATCTACTACTACTGGGAGCACCTATTGTCGATTTCACTACAGGAATCCCTATAAAATAATTTATGTCAGTTAGCTGTTACGGTAACTTTGATTTTATTTTTAGCTTCGCACCAAATTTTAATTAAGGGCATCGCCATTAATTAAAAAGAAGAATATAATTCCAGGTTGTCATTCTTGTAAAACTATTATCGATAATATGGTGATTTTAAATATATCATTTGAACATACAAATGTGTCTTTCAGTTTAGACAAAAAAAAAAAGGAAATAATAGAAGGTAAATTGAAAAAACTAAAAATGTATTTTAAAGTGCCTACTTTTTTCTCTACATGTCCGATAAAGGCGCCATTGTGAATACTTATCTTTTAAATAATGATATTACAATAAAAAACCCTTTTTTATTATATAGATAGGTAACTTCAATTCAAAAAGTGTCACTTTAAAATTATGTTAATTACCATACCTGAGCACGCACTGTCTGGCAAAAGCGTTGATTGTGTGCATTTATGTATCATAATCATTTTAAAAATGCCACGCTGTGTTATGCGATACTGCAGAAACAACATAAGTAAGTTATCTAAAGATCCAAGGGGTCACATATCATTCGTAAGTATATTTTTTATTGATTTGCGTTTTAATAAGAAAAATAAATAAGGTGTTACAAAAAGAAAAAGTAAATACTCTTTCTACTTCTAATACGTTACAAATTGTTAAAAAGATCTGTCAGATTATGTAAGAAACAAAAGAATGGACAATTCGACTGTAGTGCCTACGCTCTCTGAAACTCCGGGGTTTGAATTCGGAGCATCGAAAACTAACTCACGAAATAAAAAATAGTCCGATTTCAATCGAAGCCCTCGTATTATTGTACATATTATATATCAGTGTCAGGTTTATGTTATCGCTTGAAAAGCTTCATTATTTACGCACTGGTAAATTAAATATACACTAACGACAAGGAGAAATAATAATGTGAGAGCAACATTTTTAAGTTGAACTCTTAATCCAAGTCTAACTCGTTTTGGTAAAAGTAGGCGTGAAACATGCATTTAATCATAACACATCTGATCTATGACATGTTCAATTATAGTCTATGAACAATTGAAGAGTGTCGTGCCATATGCGTGTGGATATGCTAGGGACAATTTTTTGCCATCGTATTAGTACTGACATTACCTATCTACCCTTTTTTTATTGTAACATCATTGTTTTTAAATATATGTTTTAGCTGCTAAATAATCTGGTATAGATAAGGTACACAATAAAAACCCGAAGGCGATCCGTTGATTAGTATACGAGGGTCAAACTGAAAGTTCTTAGAACTGGCCACTTATAAACAATATAATAAAAAAATAATTCTAAAATTTGAAAATATAACTCTTTGCCAATATTACTGAGTATATATTTCATTCATTTGTCATTTGTTTTACGATTTGGCGGCAAATTGAAAATTGTCTGTGTCACGTCATCATGAATTTAACACGAGAAAATTTCGTGCTATGATTTTTTATGACTTTCGATGTCATTTAAGTCAACAAGAAAGTTATGATAGACTACGATTGGCCTTTCACGATGAAGCCCATCTCGTGCGACTGTTTACAACTGGTTTAATGAGTTTAAACGTGGTCGCACTAATCTCACTGATGATTTACGTGAGGGACGGCTTCTACGGCGACGACTGAAGATAACATCTGTGTTGTGCGGCGTATGATAGAGACTGACAAAAGAGTGACCTATCAACAGATTCGGACAAGCTTAGGCATCGGTATGAGTCAAGTGCACAAAATCCTCCACGAACATTTAGCGGTCAGGAAGCTTTGCGCCCGGTGGATACCTCATAATTTGACTGAGGCTCAAAAACTCCATCGTGTGGATTGGTGTCGTAAAATGATGAAAGATTTAACGGAGGTGACTCAAATGCTGTGTTCGACATACTAACAGGTGACGAAAGCTGATTTACTGTTATGATCCTAAAACCAAAGACAATCTGCTCAGTGGGTGTTTCCTTTCGAGGAGTTGCCAACTAAAGTGAAGAGAGATCGAAGTGCGGGAAAAAAAATGGTGGCCTCGTTCTTTGGAAGGATAGGTCATTTTGCAACAATTGTGTTAGAGGATCAAAAAACAGTTTCTGCAGAATGGTACACTACCAATTGTTTGCCACTTGTCTTGGAAAAAGTTCGAGAGAAACGACCTCGCAGTAGGATCCTCCTTCACCACGACAACGCCTCGTCGCACACCGCCAAGCGAACGATCGACTATTTGGCGACATCAAACGTTGAATTACTGGGTCACCCGCCGTATAGCCCCGACCTCGCGCCTTGTGATTTTTATTTTATTTCCAAAATTAAAGAAAAACTTAAAGGAAAGCGGTTTATGAATGCTGAAGAAGCGGTGGCTGCGTATCGCGATGCCATTGAAGAGACCCCTAAGGACGAGTGGGCAAAGTGCTTTTCCCAGTGGTTCCATCGCATGCAGCGGTGTATTGACGTGAATGGACAATATTTTGAAAAGATATAATAAAACTAATAACTGGCTAATGTAATCAGTTTTTGATTTTCTAAGAACTTTCAGTTTGACCCTCGTAAAACGATAGAAGTGAATATGTAAAAAGGGAGCAAACGGGAGCGGGAATTTTTAAATGTCGCCGCATACAAAAAGGGCATACTAAGGGTGGTGCATATTGTCGAATTAAGTATGGACATTTTAACATTATGAATGTAACTTCTGGTCAGATATTTATGCAGAGGCATCGACGCGCCAATGAATATACACCTGAAGGTACTCGTCGAGCTCGACTTGACCGTTCATGTTAGTATCGATCTCCTTCAGGATCTCGTGTAACTGCTCTCCCGTCACCTCCTCGCCATAGTTCTGTGGACACAACCCGTATGACACTCACGTACACAACACATCTATTCTTGGTTATACCCCTTTGTTAAAACAAGGCCATGTTGAAAGGACCACGACACTGACTCCGGGTGTTTGATGCCTAAATCTAATGAATAGGTGGTAATAGTGTATAAGCAGATAACAGTCCTGGGACTACGCACGGACAAGTATGTAATAAGGTCTGCCACCGCTACCTGTAGGTAGTCCTGTAACTCCATTTGGCCGTGGTACTGGAGGTCAATCTCGGACAAAATGGAACTTATTTCTGCGTCGCTGGGCTTCAGACCCATACTCTAAAACATTTAGCATTTGATTAAAGCAACATAGAACAGCGTATTCAAGATAATTTACCACTTTTTTATTAAGTTTCGAATGAAACTGGAATTCTACCTGCGTAATTTCGTTTTACGTTAAAATCTGATTCAGTAGCTTTTGTAAACTATAGAAATAGAAAAATAGGTTCTTAAAAATAGTAACTCTTATCCACTGTCTGTTTTTCGTAGTAGTAGTATTATAATTCGTCCATGGGACAGGCGAAGGATGTCTGATTTATTTGATTTTTTTTTTAAATTTTATTAGGTGTTGCTAGAGTATGAATTTGCCATTTTATTGTAATTGGTTCCTTAAATTGACATAGAATCTTCATGGTTTGAGATTTTCGAAAGAAAATTTATTCACATGGTGTTATGTTGTTATGATGAAAATCATAGACATAACAACTCTTTAAAAAAAATGTGAAAGATTTGAATATCGACTTTCAATTGTTTTTTTTTTTATTCAACTTATATAAGAAATCTTTGAATACTGCGAAAATTCGAGTGATTTTTGAATACGAGTACCGACGCGGAAGTAACGCCGCAATATCAATGTTGTTTGGAGAGGGGTCCGCTAATGAACGCACCGTGCGATTTGGTTTAAACGCTTTCGTGATGGAAACTTCGACTTGTAGAACGAGCCAGGAGGAAGACCGTCTACACAGGTGAATAACGATGAATTAAAAGAGACGGTGGAAGCCGATCCTAGTCAAATTACCTAAGAGTTAGGGGCGTGTTTTAACGTTACCTTACCCACAATATTGACTCATTCGCGTCAAATCAATAAAATAAAAAAATTGTGACTATGGGAACGGTGTGGTTTTTCAAAAATACCTTAAGACTTCGCCTGATGTCGTTGATGGAGACGAAGCCTTTCCTGTCTTTATCTATTATCTGGAACCGTTTAATGTAGGTCTGGATCTCGTCCTTGCTAAGGTTGATCGGGATCTTGTCGCGGCTCGCGCGGTTCACCATCTGGCCCATCTCGTTCGCCAGGAACTCGCTCGCCATTTTTATTTGTTTCTGCGATCAACGGGCATTTCAGGGTAGGTTTCGAACCGTTTTACATTTCTTAGAATCGAACATCGGCTCCTGGCTGATGCGTCGATGGCGACGGATGAAAAACAGAAGCGATCGAATATTGTAAAGAATTTTTATAGTGCGGTCTCGCGTTCTCGGTCGGGCGGTTACCTGTTTCTCGGCGGCGCTCCAGTGCAGCTCCTCGGCCATGATGTCGGCGACGGCGGGCAGCGCCTCGGCCGCCGCCTGCACGTTGAGGAACGCCAGCCGCAGCCGCCGCGCCAGCACGTCCACCGCCGTGCACGCGTACTCGCGCACGCCGTACCGGATCTCGGCGTCGATGTAGGGAAACTCGGGGTGAATCTTCTTCCCGATGATCGGCCACCGCTTCCCGGTCATCGCGGCCATCTTGGCCACCGCGAACGCTCGGTCGCCGTACGACTTCGCGAGGTGTTGCGCCACCTGGAAACGGGAGAGGCGGCGTCGTCACGGCGCTCGTCGAACGGAACGAACCCAGCCCGCGAGGGACCGATACCCGCCTCCATTTCCAATCCGAAATCTTGCACCAGTCTGATGTACATCGTCGGCGTCCAGCCGTGCGCGCCCTCTATCAGGAACCCGTCCGTCTGGCACTCCCTGTACAGCGGCTTGAGATCCGCACCTGCGAGCGACGCCGTCGGTATATATACATTAGGGTGGAGTGAAACATATAAAAAAATTTTTTTTTGCTCATTTTAAATCTCCTGTATTATTAATCGGTGACCATATGTAAAAGCTTTATTTGTGCAAAAAATCAAAGGTTTAGTACTTTATTTTCAGGTGGCGCATCCAGAAAATAGTTTCTAAAGAACTAATATTTTTACTTGTAAGCCTACCCTCAAAAAAGAGTTATTCTTACATGCTTTGCTTTCAAATATACTGTTTTTCACTTCTTCTAAGTATTATCTCGTATGCAAATATAGTTTTATTTTATAAAACTTTAGTATATGGTTCAGAAATAGTGCCAAAGTTAAGTAAATTTTAATAAAAAAAATGCCTAAAACGCGTAAAGATTTGCGGTGTCTTTTATTTGGTGATCCGATCAAATTCAGTAATTGTTACCTACATATTGTGATGTGATTAAACACTACTTTAACCACATCACAATATGCATATAAATACTACTTTAATCACATCACAATATGTACAACATTAAAGGTTAAGAAAACAGCTTGATTAGTGTCTTGACTTGAAAATAGGAATATTCGAACCCATCTCCACCGAATTGCCGGATCTGAATATTGAATTGTTGAGCGCCGATCCAAAATATCTTTATCAGATGTGTTGTGCTATTTCTTCTGGTACAGTTCCACCAAACTTAGCTAATAAAGACCTAGGACAACTAGCCCATTCTCGATGGTTAACTTGCGCTAACAGGATTCTTCGTTTGTATATTAGTACAGCTAAACCGACAAATATTTGAAAGAACTGTCGACTTTTGTCATGAAAGTATACGCCCCAAACTGGTTTGATATCAAATCAAAATCCTCTTATAAATTTGGTCCGATTCATATCTTTAATATGGTTAAAAGAAGTATCGTATGTATTTGGGAGATGATTTTAAAAGTATTGTCTTAAATACTATTAAAAGAAATGCTTTCTTCACACACCCCGAAAATCTATTGCTGGTTATGTTAGATGATGATATTCAACAAGTACGAGAGATGGCTCTTCGGAGAGTTTTAAAGGCAAGAAAGTTTGTGAATTCCAGTTACCAGAGCTAAAAATAGATGCGAAAAATTATTATGATTTAATGAATGGGTGAAAGAGAAGATAACAGAACCTCCTATAACAATGAAATACAGCGATTCGGAAATTACTACAAAAATTACAACTAGAGGTAATTGTTTGATATTGAAAAGTACTCTTGCCACACTCAAGCAGTCGAAAGGTGCGTCAAACTTGTAACTGAAGCTTCGCCGGTATCTGTTCGTGGACCCGATGCTAAGAGATGGTTTTATTCGTACTAGAATAAAATCCAGGAATACTTATTTTTGACGCCAAATCTCAGTATTTCCGTCAAAAAGAAGACACCGGGACTTCTAATACTGAACATTAAAATTTTATTTTTATGGTTACTTCATATAGTAATTCATCATGGTAGTAGTTTTGAGTAGATAAACAGTAAAATATACGATAATATTGTCAGAAATAAATGTTTATTTGTAACTTTTTTTGTTTTCTTATTCGTCTACCGTCATACCTGATGCGCTACCTCAAGATATCGAGTTAGAAAGCTGTAACTTTGCATGACTTTGCATCACTACGGATCGCTGTTTGAGAAGGCAGGAAAGTGAAAATTAAGAGAAAAAAAAAATCACTCCACCCGAATATACATGTACGGCGGGGAGGTATAGTACTGACTGCGTATGGCGGCGTCGATCGTCTCGGCGGCCATGGCGCGGTAGGTGGTCCACTTGCCGCCCGCGACGGTGACGAGGCCGGAGCGCGCCACGTGCACCACGTGGTTGCGCGCCAGCGACTGCGTGTCCGGCTTGTTGGGGTCCGACACCAGCGGCCGGATGCCCGACCACGCCGACAGCACGTCGCCGCGCCGCACTGCAACACCCCGCCCCCACCACCCGTCAGCGCCACGGTCTACGGCGACACTTACGCGCCCGAGACGCACGCACCTACCTTCCACGTCCGGGTTCAGGTAGTTCTTGACCTCGGTCAGGATGAAGAGGATCTCGTCCTCGGTGGGCCGCGGGCTGGCGGTCACGTCGCACGGCAGGTCGGTGGTGCCGGCGATGGTGCCCTTCAGCCACGGCAGGAAGAAGATCACGCGCCCGTCCGACGTCGCCGGGTCCAGCAGGCCCATGTGCTCCGGGCTGCGACACGACACACGGTCACTCGGCCTCGGCCGTCGGAACGGCGGAGGCGAGAAATTATAGCATCGGAGCGCGACGGGTCGCCGACCGTGGCCGACGAAAGAGTCGCGATCGGAACCTCCGTCCGATCCATCGGTGAGATTATTTGCAAAATTACGGTTGCGATTTCCCGAACGAAGATAAAAATAACGAACTTTTAAAAGCTAACATCCCCGACGGGGAAGATACCTGTAGTAGCCCGGCAACACGATATGAACACCCGAGGAGGGGCAGCAGATATCTTTGACGTTCGGGTCGTCCATCTTCCGGATGTTGTCCGTGAACGGCCCGGTCGCGTTGATGATGCACCTCGCTTTCACGTCCCACTCCTTCCCGGACATTTCATCCTGCGCGCCACAGATTATCGTTACAACAGTGCGTAGCTGCCGCCGCACGCGCTATGCTAGCGCTATGTAGCGCTGTGTAGCGCACCACACCCACCCGCAGCCGCGCCCCGCACAGACGGCCGCCGCTGCGGTGCAGCTGCACGCAGGCCACATGGTTGGCGATGGTGGCCCCGTGGCGCGCCGCCGTCAGCGCTATCGCGAGGTTCATGCGCGCGTCGTCCTGCTGACCTACGACGATGGAACGATGTTACGGCGATGTTCAGAACGAAAACATCGAACGAGAATCACTTTATATCTCACCGTCGTAATATACGATGCCGCCGCACAGATTGTCCGACTTCAACATGGGAAATAATTCTAGAGTATTCTTTTTCGATAAGTAGTAGGAGCTCTTTACGTTCCTGTCGCCCGCTACGAAATCGTACATCTTTATTCCGAACCAGTAGTATGGAACTTGCCACCATCTGGAAGGTAAGTGAGTTTTCGGTCCGTTCGTTACTTTGATATTGTACTTCTTGTTTTTTTATTGTCCGGTTGCTCAAAAGCAACACCAGAAACGAGAAAGGGATAGAGATCTATCCTATGTCTGTTTGTAAATTGTTGTTGAAAAGTCAAAATGAATTTTCTAAGCTGTAATAAGCTGTAAGCCAGTGTAGCTGCAAAAAACAAAATTTATTGCGATCCTGACGTTATAGAAAGACGGTAGTTCATTCCGCATATCTTGACATTCCAAAGGGAATCAAAACTAATAATATCTCAACTTTACCCGAGACAAAAAAAAAATAAAATAATTGCTATGCAAACTGAAAAAGTTCCCGAAACCCATACCTCATAAATAAAATAAAAATAATCAGAAGCAATTAGTGGTCATTTATTTAATTGCATTCCACAATGAAGTATTAAGATAAAAATATTATTATGGATCCCGTCGGGCACAGTAAATGATTCGAAGTAATAATAAATAAGATGTAAATAAGAAACCGAAATTTCATATGATTAAAATAAAGCACTGGACACGTTGAGTTAGAAGGAGACGATATTTTATCGCTGATAATTATAAATCGCAGCTTTTGATTGTCCTTAAATACACTTATTTATTGTCACACACTTGTCCTTAAATATTCATTCATTCATTCACTTAAAAACCAAAATTTTTTTTATAATGACCAATTCTACCAGTTTGGTTTTTTGTGTAAATTGACTAAAATAGACGACAGTGAATTTATCAGACAAAAAGCAAAGGAGTTGTAACAATTTTAAAACAGTGATTTAGCAAAAAGCTTTGCTTTGCAGCAGAGTGCGGTTATTTAGCGCAATTTTTAAATTCCAACAACTTAATTAGGAAATAATATTAAGAGTTTTTTAATGATGAGTGTGACCATCTACAGTGACGGTAGGTTTTTTCAGCCCTAGAAAAGTCACAAATGACTTACGCTCAACACTCTGCCAACAAAGAATTAGAAAAAATAATAGAAAATTTTCAAATCACTTATTATGTTATTATTTAATTTAAAATTATTGCTGTTTTATTAATAAATAAATATAGCATTCGCGAACAAAAGTTGACTTTTATTTCAGTTATTTGACTATTTTCTTCAGACATGAGATGTGAACAACAACACGCCGGGGGCGAGTCGTCATAAACATATTAAACTTATTTGATAATATTGAAACATAGATATATTTTACTTATAAACCGGTAGAAGGATGGGCAGCGGGCGCGTGAGGTGTGGCGCCACCTCGAGCATGTTAGCGCGCTCGTGCAGCGCCTCCTTTACCATCTTGTACTGGTCGTAGTCCAATTGCATGATAGCCTTCTGTAGATATCGGACGCCTCCGTGAATCAGTTTCGTACTTCTACTCGATGTGCCGCTGGCGAAGTCATCCCGCTCCACCAGCGCCGTGCGTAGACCTGCGACCCACACCTAGCTGATGCATTCTTATGTCTTTGCCATGGCCGTGTATACACCCCAATATTATTTATTAGAATTATCATAGAACGTATAAAAAATTCTGACGTAATTTTTTACGGATTCTGGTAGTGATAGGGCTTACTTTATTCTTTTTTATGTGTACATTTTTTTAAGGTTCCCTACCTCGTAAGTAAAAAACGGAACCCTAGGATCACTTTGTGTAAATTGTGAAAAAATAAAATTTGTAAGCCAACGAATCAAAGGATACAGCCGTACTATGCTACAAATTTTCGAAACTCGCAAGGGAATTAAATTCGGTTTTTACAGTACATTACATCCCGAACACTGTAAGCGGTGCTTTCTGTTTATTTTAGTTTATCTTAAAAAATATAATTCAGAAATAATGAAATAGTTTTAATAATAAGAAGCCTATCCATTGATAAATATTGTGAGCGTGAGGTCCAACTTAGCGTCTCTATCCCACACCTACACCACACCACACGTGATGTAATTAGCCTTTTGACTGTTTTAAGAAAAGTATTTTAAAACTTGAAAATGTGTTTAAATGTGTAAAATAATTAATTAACATGAGTATTGGGTACTTTAATCCAAAAAATATCTACATTTTATTGTTTTAACTGTCAAGTGGTCAATTGAGCAACGATATGTACTGTAGACACATAAAAATATAAACACTATGTATTTAAATAACTACTTAATAAATCCATTATTATAATTATTATTTAGTTACCTATTCATAAGTAGTAATTGCCAACAAGGCCAAGCTCATGTACTACATATAATCTACCTCTTGTAGTGGCATCGAGCGCGCATCCTGCGCCGGTGGCGCCGCCTCCAATGATAAGCACGTCGTACGTGTGTCCCGCCTGCAGGTTAGCCACCTGCTCCGCGCGTGATGGCAACGGACGCTTTTTGCGTTCTGTCTTAGCCACCACTGCCGGTTTGTACCATGCCTGAAAACCAGTACCATACACTTCTTTACTCACCCTCAAACGGTGACATCTTGCCAAGCTTGTGTTGATAGACAAAAACTTTATGTAAAAGTTTTTGTTCAGTTCAAAAAATTATGGTATGATACGTAACGTTAATATTAGTATTATAATCTTTTAAAAAACATTTTAAAACCATTGTGAAAATTATAGGTATATTATTAAGATTTTTATTGTTAAATTGTTTACTTTAGCGATGACATCTATTGACACTGAACAGTATCAATATCGTAATATTACTTTGTTGGTTTTGTTTTCCAACATGATAACGTCTCTACTCGATACTAGATGGCGTTATTAATTCAGTATGTTCATGATATATGATTTGTTTGGCTATGTGCACGTAACTACAGCAACACCTAGCGTCCATAACTTTTAAAGCTTCGGCGCTTTAAAATGGAACGTGAATTTTTGGACTATATATTAAAATCAAAAACTATTTACAAAATTACTAATAATACTGTAATTCAGGTGGATAGTATTGTAAACAAAGCACTAAAAAAAACACCACTAGATGGCGACTCTAGCATGATTTTTGCAAAAAACGGAATGGACCAAAAATAGTCATTTACGTTCCTTTTATCTAACGTATTACAAAATTCAAAACTTTTGATATCTAAGTTACGAAATACGAAAAAGTACAAATGGAATAAGAGTTGTTTATTGAGTTTTGAAAACTAATTTACATTTATACATGCAAGGAAACCGGATGGGTTGTCATGGAGAAATCAAGAAAGTACCGTAGCGTCATCTAGTTTGATTTCGGGAACTATTTTTTTAATACTTCCTCGTTAAATCAGAGTTTATTTACCTAATTTTTCTTGAGCTTATTTATTTAACAGTAAAATTTAATTATTTAAAGTTCTTTTGTTAGTTTCATTAATAGACCCTTCGTGCAAGCGTCCGATTTGCGCTTGCCCAGTTTTTTTAATAATATATTTTAATAGAGAATTATTTATCGATCGACGATTATTAACGAGATACTTTAATACGTAACCCATGAGCGTTAAATTATGTTTGCGAAAAATGTACTAAGCTAACAATAATTATGATTGACTTATAATTATGAATAATAATTATGAATGACTTATATGGCAAAAGTTTTATCTAAAATAGCAACTAAAATTCAAAGGCCACGAAATATTTCATTCATATATAATTTGAAATACATATCCAGTAATTTAAATAATCAATAATGACTAATGAGTTATAGTCAAATATCTCAATCGTAGTATATTGTAGGTACTACCTACTCAATTTTGGATTGATTATTTGATTTCTGATTGGTTTTGAACTTTTGAAGATATAATAACGTTAGTAACTTTACATCGAAAGAGCTGCACGCATGCGGCTTGCAAGTCGCACGTTGCCGACCTCTGTTCTAGACTGATGCCGTTCCTTTGTTTGAGATACCTGGTGATAGTACGGAGATACTGACCGGTGTGGCATCGTCAGCGACCAGCGTCCAAGCCGCCAGGGCGGCGCCCGCCACCCCCGCCACCCCCGCCGTGCCGGCCGCTATCAACCGCCTTCGCGACATTCCTGCTACAAACATTACATTTTCTCACATACTACTAAGACATTTTCTGAAAATAACTACTAGGTATTTACTATGTTTTGTTTTTAAGACAATAAAACTAATGTTTTGTATCTTTGATACAAGACAATATTTATTTGAGACTAGCTTTCGCCAGCGGCTTCGCCCGCGTGGTCCCTAGGGAAATGTTAAGTGGGATAAAAAGTATCCTATTATCTAAGTCAGCTAATACCCTATCTGTATACCAAATTTCATCAAAATCCGTTCAGTAGTTTCGGCGTGATTTAACTTTTTTAATTAGGGATGACTGAGAGTGTTATAAACGTAAGAGTAGACAATAGACAAATACAATCAGAAAGCTTCGAACTGCTAAGCTATCGGGAGTTACACGTGTTATTGTGAGTCAACCATAAAAGATAGACATATGCTGTCGTGGGATATTTTTTATATAATTTTAAGGAGAACATTTCCGTCCTACATGATTTCTGGGTAGCTTTAACCATTAAGGTTGCACACGCGACGGAAGCTTAAAAAATGGAGTAACTTCTCCCGTTTTCCCAACATTTCCCTTCACTGCTCTGCTCCTATTGATTGTAGCGTGATGAAAAGTATACTATAACCAGCTCAGGAGTATGAAAAATAATTGTACCAAGTTTCGTTAAAATCCGTCGAGTAGTTTTTGTTTCTATAACGGTTATACAGACAGACAGACAGACAAAAATTTTACTGATTGCATTTTTGGCATCAGTATCGATCCCTAATCACCCCCTGATAGTTATTTTGGAAATATATTTCATGTACAGAATTGACCTCTCTACAGATTTATTATAAGTATAGATACTGTATATGCTTTGAACATAAATATAAGGTACACCGCTAGTTAGAAAGAAGATCTAAAGCCATGAACCGTAATTCGCCTGTACTTAGAAACACAACACAGTAATTAGTGCGTATTAATGTCACTTATGTACGGTGGCAAGAATTGGGTATCTCAGACGATACGGAGATAAAATTCCATCGACCGAATTGTGAACGGTATGTACCTGAACTATCCCAAAGAAGGCTGCAGTATTCCAATCATGACGATATCATTCTAGCCTGTGGTCCTACTTAGGCTTCAGATATAGGTATATTAGATATAGGTCATACCTATCTAAGTGAAGCAATTGATATTTCCAAATACTAAAGATTTTTAAGTATACGTGTAGGTACAATTTTAGGGCAGTTATAACTAAATGTCTATATCTAACAGAAATAATTAAACACTTTAGATTAGTCTAAAACGCCTGTGTCTCTATAATTTGGATTGTTTTTTTATTGTCAAAATGAGAAAAAAAAATTTTTTTTGCTCACAATTGAAACAGTCCACTTATAATATTGTATGAAAATAACCTAATGACCGGAGCAAGCGCTGCCGACTCGTTATGTCTGTCTGTCTACTTACAACGTCACCGGGAGACATGATAACGCCAAGGTCACTATCGCACGTGGAATTGTACGTTATATGTTATACCTTATCTTAATGATTCCATACTCTTTATACTATATTCCTACATAGGTATACTAGTATTTCTAATAATTTATTGATATTTCAAGGTGTTCCTCAACGACGCTTATTATGATATATACATGGTTTTTTATTATTATTGATTTTAGATGTATATAGGTAATGGTTACTATTTTTCAGCCAGCGGTTTGGCCCGCGTGGTCCTGTAAGTATAATACTTATAAATATATAAACCTTTTTGATTCACCGTGTATATTGATGAAAATATCATTAAAATCCATTATGCAGTTCAAAAGATCTCAGCGTACAGACGGCGGGGAGCGACTTTTATACACACATTATTATTTACATTGTATAAACTATGTACAGATCCATACTATAATATATAACATAGGGGGGGAAACTCCTAGTATGGCCCGCGCTTAATATCGGCCTTATTGAGAAAATGGAACATTACTATAAAAATAGTCCTAAAATCCTAATTGGTTTTCGCAAAAAGTAGCTCTATATCCTTATGAATAACTTTTATATGTTGGTGCAAATGCCTCAACGTTTGCACGTTCAGTCGGCAATAGAGCCCGCGCAGGTCGTTCGGTGGCATTGTCGAGTCGACACATTGTGTTAATATGCGTGTATTTGAATGAATTGGAAATATCCGAGCTATTTCATTTTACTTGTTCTTGAAGGAAAATAGTCAAAGTACCATTTCGATAGTATATTTTTACATTTATTTGTATTTTTTTACTATATAACCGCGGAACCGAGAATAGGAATCTGTATTATTAATAAATATTAATATCGGCCAAGCGGTCGATATTGTGGAAATGCATGCTGTGTGCAGTAACAACAGTTAAGTTAAAATGAAAATCTTTAAAAAAGAACCTCAGATAGAACCGACATCAAACTTAAAAAAAGTGAAAAATAATACTTCTCTCAAAAAACGAAGTATTCAAGAAAATGCTATTTAAGTCGGGCGGAGGTGTTCTATAGGTTATTCATTAAATGATAGGCGCCCGACGTCTTAGCATTTTCTTGAATAAGTCGCTTTTGAGATAAGTATCAATTTGAAGCCGGTTCTATATTTTTTTAAGGTTTAATTTCATGCTAGTGATATTAATACTTTTATATAATAGGTAACGGGTCGGTAAAAACAGCTCAATCTGGTCACCAAATCCTAAGGTCGACCGCCTAATACCATTTCTATCAGCTACGGCCGACATAAGAGGAATCTTTTTACTTAGTATCTTATTTCCTACTAACTTATATCGATATTAAATTGGACATTTGATTCCAACAGTAACAATTTTAGCCGAAATAAAATCTTCCCCAGTCTCTTCCAAATTCTAAAACATCCACGTTAACTTCTAGATATATTGTATCGTCAGCATTAAGAAAACATTAATGTGCTTCAAAAGCATCATTCAAAAAATCTTGGCACCAAAACCAAGACTAAGAAAGGAAAATATTCAAAAAATACCGAAATTAGCTGAAATATCGTGTGAAACCTAGAAAGACTATGAAATAGGAAAACAAGTTGTCAAACAACGTGAGTAATTGTTTGGGCCATATATAACTCTTTCACAGCCTGCACATAGAATTTTCTCTTTTTCCAAAGTACCAAATGCATAACTTTGAATATAAATCTGCAAGGGCAGTTTCGTGATTGCTGGTCATTTAATGATCCTTTCTTTACAACTTTTATTATGTTTGCTCATTTAATTTTTTATTCTCTTTTCCGGTTAATTTTCTTTCTCTTCATTCTGTTCAATTCTGCTGTTTCTTTCCTAGCTTTATTTGACAATTATGGGTGCCCTTTTCATAGTCTCCAGGTTTCAAATGAAATACCTGACGGTAACTTGTTTCTTTTTTAGGCTTGGTGTTGGTCCCAAATTCTTGTTTTTGGAACACATAAATGTTTTCTAAGTGCAAAATTGACAAAATATGATATGTACATATATTGATGTGGCTAAAAAAATAAACTCGACATCTCCGTTGTATGCATTTAATTTGAAGATCCTAAAAATAACGTTAAGTTTTCGATTCATTTTAATCGGTAATTATTTACGATAATTTGGTTCGAAGTTTTTTCCTTTTTTTAATTAAGAATGTTGACTCATTGTGATCTTTATTAATATGTTTCCTAAGATAGAAGTGTAAAAATTGAGTAATAAGACTTAAAATGTTGACTGATTTTTTAAAAAATATAAAACATTATAAATTTTTCTTTTTGTATTTTTATTTATCTAACTTCCCCCTTGAAAATGTATGCCAATATCAAAGTAACGGGCGTCGGTATTTTGGGAAATCGGATAACTGAGGGAAAACACCAATATTATCAAGAAAGTATTCGTAATTTCGCGAATTTTATAATGAAATTTCGTTATCTGTCTACCCAAAAACGGTATTTCAAGGAAGCCAAACCTAATATATAAAAATGACAAAGATGGAAAAGTTGACATGGCGATATAATTGTTGCCTCCACCCTATATCTAAAATCAATCTTCCGCACACAATCTTGATTGATAGGGGGACAGCTGATTTCCCAAGGTTTTTGTGTCATGTCATACCAACATACTATCTATTACCTATGATGTTAATGACCGGACGGTATGACACTAACGCAGTGATAGCCGTAAAGAGTTGGCAAAGGCTCGATGTTCGTTGTTTTCAGTTCCAATTTAATTTGAGACAGACATCAACTGTGACTAGATACCATTTTACAACGAGTAACGTGCATGCTACTGGCCATACCTACTCTATCTATATGTAACCTGTACCGCTAAGTGAGAGTATACCGCGCACGTACCTAAAATAGCACCAGCTGGTGAAACAATCGCGCATACCTATAATATAATTCAGATTAACCTAGCCTCAGTATTTGAGAACAAAATTGGCCTGCATATATATCTATACTTATTTTGGAGGACAATTTTTGGTGGACAATAAACATTTATGTTTGTGTTAAATATTTTTATTACTTGAAAGAATATAAATTGTCATAAAAAAATTAAAATCCCTAATTTTTTTAAGTGAATTGTAAGAAATTTACAAATGATTAACATTTCGTGTTCAGTAATTTATTACTTAATATTAATACGTTGATTTTTTTAAATATAAAGTAATCTCAATAAACAACAAATATCGTTTTATTTTAATTTATATAATATATTTCATAATAACAAACACGTTATGCAGTGATTTTATAAAATAAAAAATATTTCCTAAGGACAACTACCAATACGTTTCCAGCCTAGGCCTAGTAGGATCCATATCGGAAAGTAGTGTGCGTCGTAATCAAATAATATTCCATACGCGTGATGGCTTTTCTTCATTGCCACAACGCGTTGAGATCGAATAGCATGTCAGCCACGACACGAATTTCGCTATTTGGTCTTTCTGTGATTGCCACAACGCGTCGTGCGCGTTTTCATTAGAGCCATAACACGAATTTCGCCATGTGGATGTTTTACTGTGACCACAACGCGTTGTGAGCTATTTTTCCGCTCACTGAGCGTTTTCGATCTTTGAGCGTAACATATATATAAAATCTTGTTTTCTTAATTTGGATTGTATCATTATAGCGTAAAGCGGAGACCTTCAGAGCGCATTGTGATGATGTCATATTCACGGTATACTAAATACGTCAGTTAACAAACTACTTTTATTATTTTATATGGTGAACTCGCACTGGTTGAGAGTTCATGAAAAAAATGGCCAACAAATCTCTAATAATTATTATATTTTTTATATGTATCCTTATTTTTAGTCTAATAATATGTATGCGTTTTGTATGTAAATAAATCTGACTTTTATTGATTAGGTTGCCAAACGATTTACAAAACTGAAAATCTATATAAAAGTAACCTGATAACTAATTAAAAATTAAAGTATTCTAATACCTAATCAATCCTTTACTCACCTTGAATAAATTAAAACAAGGAAAACTATTAGAAATTCATGTATTTCGCAGTGTAAACACAAAAACGCCAAACTAGTTAGGTAGGTACGCAAGGGCGGCGATTCAGCTTGCACTTATTGCTTTATCAGTGGTCAGGTAAAAATAATTCTATCAAAAAACTCGATCTGTATTCACATTAGTGTTTTAGTAATTATGTAAGCTAAGATTCTACTTCTAAACCAACACTAATAATATTCATCGTTTAAACCTCGCGCATGCCGGAGAGTGCACACCCGGCAATAAACCGACCGTGCGACCCACTGACTGACTCGCTTGCTTGACTAGTCGAGTCGAGTCGATCTTCAGTGTGACTCATTCACGTTGCTGCATTATTCAGTAACTATTGCCGTGTGCTATTTAGTCACAGTGAATTATTGCGCCATCTGTTGTCAAATGGCCAAATTAATATAACAAATATTATTAAACTATCTGCGAATTTCGCCGCTAGATAAATTTATAGTATCTGAAATATAGAGGTAAAAAAATAGCAGTATATTGTTTATAATATCGTGAGAGATACCAATGAATATTTAAAATTATTTGAAGAGTTTTAATTAAACGTAATTATTACCAATGAAAATGCCTTTCACATAATAGGGTTTCCTCGAAGGACGACCTTGGCGTGCTTTGGTTGAGAGACGAATTTTCTTTATCGGTGGCTAGAATATTACTTTCGACCATCAGTAGATGGTGCTGTATCGTAATGTAAAATAGTGGCTAAAATGAAGGGAGTTCAACGTTTTACACAATGAGCTCGTGACTCTTCACTTATCAAAGGCTCGTGACAAAAAGGTGCAAGAGACTTCGAAAGCTTGATTTTTTTCAGTAGGTTGGTGCAGTCAACAGCACGAAAAACTAAGGAAAACTGACAAATTTTCTCACTCGAGTTAAAACCTCAATACATTGATTGTAGAGCAAAGATAAAATTCCAATGCGAAAAATTTATTATGGTAACTTAATGGGCAGTCATGTGTACTAAGGATACGTAATGCGATAGCCGATCACAGCAGCGGTGCGATCTCCTTGCTCTTTTTTTTAAACGGTTTTATTTAGTTTATCCCGTTTGTTTCATTCGTGGTGGGTCAAATTTAGTAATTGAAATTTCACCCTCTTTCCGTCAACTGATTGATCTGCCTTTGATTATGGTGACAATACAACTATGTACATTCAATATTATTGTGAATTCAAGATGGCCGCCGCTACAAGATGGCGGACAACTTATTTTTTTTAATCCCATCAATATAGATATCAAATGAAGGGCATGTTAAGTCGAATACAATTCAATATACAAAATCAAAATTCAAGATGACCGCCGCTACAAAATGGCGGATAATGTAGTTTTTTCTTCAATCCCATCAATATGGGTATCAAGTGAACTGGCTTGTTAAGTAGAACACAGTATAGGTACTATACAAAATCAGAATCAAAGATGGCCGCCGCTACAAAATGGCGGCTAATATAGTTTTATTCAATCCCATCAATATGGGTATCAAATTAAAGGGCTTGCTAAGTATAATACAGTGCAAAACACAAAATCACAATTGGAATATCCCACCCAATTATTACATATTGACTGGGTTGGGATATTCCAATTGTGATTTTGTACAACTATACAAAATCACAATTGGAATATCCCACCCAAGTCAAGATCTCGTATCCGGTCGAGGACTATGTGGCGTTAGGGTGGCTAAAAATGTTACGTCGCTAGGGGTACACCACCCAAGTTAAGGTAAAAGCGCGCCAAGAACATTTCTCTGTTTACAATAAAACCGTTTAACTTTAAAAGTTTTTTTATGATAACGCAGGGGAAATGAGCGTGTGTAGTTACATACTCAAATATTTTACGTGTTTTAAATTGAGATGAGCTCTTGAACGTTTATTCTTGACGAGCTTCAGCCTCCCGAGCAAGTCGGTTTCCGAAAGGGTTTTAGCATGGATTTGAAAGTAAACACAGATGTATGAGTTTACTTTCACACTGCTTGATGTTAAAGTGCCACTTACTAATTCAAAAATATCACAGATTACGTTGCCACAGAGTGGTCGACAATAAAAATAAATTTCAAATTCATGTAAAGAATATACTTATGAGTAAAGGCTATTATAAAGTTGATGATTAATTTAAGGATCGCAACGCATGGAATTGATAGCCTTCGCTTTGTTCTATAAAGACTAATTATATGTTCAACCTATGTCCGACAGACTTTGAAAGTTGGGTTTATTATTGTGATAATATTGTACATATTATTTTGGTAATGACATGATTTATGTAAATGTCATTACTTATGATAAAAAGCTGGTAAGTTTCTTTCGCTTGTTCTTCTTGTCAGCTAAAAGACGTCCTGAACAAGTGGTAGGGGAAAAAATTTTTTTGGACGATTCAAAAGTGCTTGTAATAGCCTACTTACTTGAATAAAGATATTTTCATTTCATTTCAAATATTATAAAACAGATGTGCCACAGCACCATAATCCACATACATACTGCACGCCAAATATGTAATCTAAAAAAATGAAGGAGCACAAACTGCAACTATGCTTAGCGTTTGTGAACTAGAAAAAAGCTTTACTTCTATCGAGACCTATGTAGTGTTGCAGACACTCTAGGGGTGCCGTATTGACAAACGTTACATTGAAACTCCATAACCGAATTATAAGTTGGATAAACTGCAGTGTGGTGCCTGGCAGAACGATGTCATACCGTCGAAGATCTTCACCGCTGCATCGGAACACGTCTTTATGCTTATGTACTGGAACAGACTCGGCATCAACATCAACGGCGAGTGTGTCATTCACCTTCGATATGTCAATAATATCATAATCGTGGCTGAGACTTTGGAAGAGCTTGACACAGTGCTCGAAGGCAAATGGAGAGCTTTTCAAGAAGTTTGTCTCAAAATGAATATGGACAAGATAAGCTCACATCTAATTTCCATGTTATAAAAGTTCTCCCATAATACTTGGGAACCCGACACTCGGAAGTTGTTGATCATAGGTATATATATCTAATAAGTAAGTCTAATATCGAGAAAGAAATCATTCGTCGAATCTATGTCGGTTGGGCAGCGGTGGGAAAATTCCGAAGTGTCATTTTGAGTACCGTAGTGTGATCATATAAATGAGGAGATTTGTAGACGAACGAAAAGTGATCGATATAGCCCAAAGAATTGCAAATCAGAAGTGGCGATGGGCCGAGCACATAGCTCATAGGACTTTACTGCCCCAACAACTAACTGGGTTGTTGGGGCAGTAAAGTCCTCGAGTGGCAACCACGGACTAAAAAACGGAGCGAAAGAAGGCTTCCTTAAGATGGTCTGAAGATGTAATTAGGATGGCCTGGATCGATAGTCGTCGAGATGTGGGGGGAAGGGGATGATGATGTTGATTCCTAGATTTGTAGACTACTTTGTTTGTTTTGAGATTTGAGTGAGAACAAGTTATATTTATGTTGCATTGAAAGTGCAAATTATGATCTTTATTTTTGTTATTACGTTGAATGTTTTAAGACTAACGACACAGGATAATGTTATAAGCTCAAAACTGCTAAAACATTTGTAGAAAATTTTAAAATTTGTCATGTGTAGAAAAAATAAAAGCGTTAATTTTGACAACTACTTACTGCTACTTATTTAGTTTAAAAGAAGCTGTTATCAATAACATCACTATTATTATGATTTTTTAAGAAAAAATAAAACTTTATGTATACAATAAAATTTATTGGAATCGTATGCTTTCTCAGACCTAACAACATAACTGTGCCGGAGCAACAAGTAATTACTTTTCTTTCTTATCTGAAGAGAGGGAATTGTAGAGTTTGGTGATCTCGGTAACAACAACACTCTGTACGACAGCGCCATTAACGTCAATAAAGTTAGCAAAAGACTTGTTGATGGAAGCCTCACGGCTCCGTCCGCCCGCGTCGCGCATCACCACCACCAGGTTGTACTTGTCGTCGTGCCTGCAACCAGAAGTATACTCTCTCAGTATCTAAATAGGCTCACAATCTATAATAGCATTCAAATATATTCATAATGAGATTGCTATTGCTATACTTTTAAAATGTAAGGTCGTTTTCATAAGGTCAGATAAGTGGAATAAAAAAAAAAATTATAAATATAGACAACATCACATATAATACTTAGATCCCTAGATTCAGTAGCTAAAATACTTGTATTATGGGAATCTTAAACAACAAATACAACACACAGACCTGAAGCAACATACAATAGGTCATTTTATTAATTGACCTGAAAGGTATTTGAACTCAGAACCTCTGAGATGACTCGAACTTCAAACCTCATTTTTAATCATTTATATCATGGCTTATAGACCACACAATTAAAATTATTGTCACAAAATTAGACACCCTTATTTAGTTCTTATCAGATTTTATTCAACAAATAAAAACTTACTTCTTGACATATGAGCTTGCCTCCCAGATTCTAGTGTTGTTGCCAACTTTTTCTTTGGCTACTACAAATATTCCTTTTTCTTTTAATGTTGTGTATAAAGTGAGTATCCCCATAAGGATGAAATATGATGACACACAAATGATGAGAACCAGTCTGAAAATAAATATAATTGTTTTATGAAATTCTGTATTAAAGTTAATCGTTTTTATATCAAATTAATATTACATCATATTAAATAGGTGTCAAATTGATAAACTGAATGTTGTTTGAGTAAATAAGTATATATTTTTAACAATTTTGGAATTAAAATCCAATCCACTCCAGTTCCAAGTTGATTAAAGTACATTTTTTTTTGTGATATTAATGGGGACTGGTTTTTAATATTGCTGACAATGTATAAAAGTATTTAGGTTAAAAAACATGTTCTCCAAATTGTGCTTCACAAAATTTTTTTTACATGCTGTATAATGAGCAAGAAAATCTAGCCTCACATAGTAAAACAACTGTGTGTTTATTTTTATTCAATTTTAGTTAAGATTACTTCACCTTGATTGAGGGAATGGGTATAGGTAGTCCCATAAGAGGGCATAGAGTGCCACACCTACGGCAAGTGCGCACAGGAAAAGTCTTCCATCAATCAGTGCAAAACTCTCCTTGCATTTGAGGTCTCCGGTGAAAACCTAAATAGTATACAATTATTTTGTTAGTGTACATTAAAAATATGGATTTTTTTTATAAATGTAATGGATTACATATTTCTTAGTCTTAAATGAAACAAAAAGTTAAGACACACCTATCACCTTACTGCATATTTTGTTTTAACAACAAAAATCCACAAAGAGGGCTTATTATGATTACAAAAAATATATAAGTCTGAAAAGTAAAATAGGCAATCTTTTTAACTGAAGATTTTAAGGAAAAACAAAACAGGTATAGGAACAGCGTGCATTCTGATATTGTTTGTTAATTTATATATGCAAACACAGATGTAATATCTTTGCCTCTTGTTTACATCTAAAATTACAGGTTTAATAAAAATAGTTTAACTACCTCTCTTATAGCATCATCAATGGCATTCTTTGCAGCAGCTCCATCCCATTTGTTGATTTTTACTACCTGTTTATTAATAAAAAAGAATATACATAACAAAGTATTTCGAGTTAAGGATAAACTAGTGATAGTATTTTTGGTTTTACTACATAATACAAATTAAAATATGTCATGCCAATAATTCGCCCTAGGACATGTTATGGATTTCAATGAGGTTTTCACTGTTGGTTAGGAAATTGCTTAGGGAAATGTTTATCACACATGTGACGCCGGATCATCTCATTGACCAATTTAAAAACTAGCTACATTAGATATATTTTCAGTATAATTTCTCTGAGTTATAACGAGTAAGAACTACTATTTCCAATCTAGAAGAAACATGCCCATTTAAAAGGCGGTTAAAATTATGTTGGAGTAATCTTTAATTACAAAAAAAAATATTTAAAACCGAAAAGATCATGTTGTGAAAACTATGACGTGTCCATTATTCTGATGAAAAAGCTACTTTAGGAATAGCGCCTATTATAAATGTCATACCTCTGATGTTTCAGTCATTCTGAATGCAAAATAGCAACAAGTTTTCTTATTTTATCTTATTATTTTCACAATATTTAAAATAAATGCTTCGTTTTCTTTCACAAAGACACCACTGCACCACTAAGTGACGTGCGTGACATGAGTGACATTGACAGCACAGCAGTAGCAGTAGCGATGTGCCTCAATCTAATGAGAAATGAATGAATCGCTCACTCGTGACTACCTCGTTTGAGTTACTCATTGCGATAAAATAAGACAGGTATTCGTTTTTCAACTTTGAACCACCTCATTTTTTGAGGCCTCGAACATCAGGTGTAAACACAGTTATCACACCTCACTCGGCAGAATAATGAGTTACTTCGAATGAAAGGTTGAGTCGATTCGTAATCAACATATTAACGATTAACGGGGCTTACATGAGTTTTATAGAACAATTCAGTTTATTTTAGTTTACCTTAGCATTTCCTCGCAATTAGTGCCTATTTAACGTTATTTTATATGAATAATAGTATTCGGTTGAAGTAAAAAGACGAAATAAGTAAAATCAAAAAATGATTATAGTGTAATAAAAAATAACAATAAAAAAAATAATTATTGAGTAAAGAAATAAAATTAATAACTTTAAAAAATTAAAATTAACAACGTAATTACTATATTTTACAATATTCGATTAATTTTTAATCACTAATGTTTCACTCGGCTCGGCCGGCGAGTAGTGGTGCACGCAAACTAGGCAAATGAATAAAAGGCTGACGAAGCATGAGAACTTGATTTAATAAAGGGTAACAAAAAACCATTTTCTTCGGGTTTGATGAGTAATTTAACTTTATTATATTTTATTTAATATATTATTTTTTACAACATTTTTACAACAAATTGCTATTGATTGGAATTAAGTATTTATAATGTTGAAATTCATAAAGAGCATATTCGATTACTTAAAAATTTCAAATAATAATAATAAATCAATTTATTTGGGACAAAAAACAGAAGCAACACAATTACATAGGCAACTAAATCTCTGTTCCAAAACGGTCCCGGCTCAGCATGTTTATCTTGTGATTAGCGCTGATCTTCCGCTGGAACCGATTCGGTGAAAAAACACGAATAGCAACACAACATAACAAAGGAAAGTGAATAATAAAAATAAATTATGTTGAAGTTCAAACACAAAAAGTTTCCATGCATGGTACCGGAAGTTCCAAAAACGGCGCGACCAAAGGTTTAAGGCGCTTGAAATATCAAGAGTTGTGCAGGCAGCGATGGATGATTTTTATAGTCAAAGCCGACGCATCACTAGGTCGAGTGCTAAGGGTGACAAGGAACCATCAACCGCTGGTACATCTGGCATAAAGTTGATGGCACCGCCTAAGGGCGTGAGGGCCGTCAAGAGGGCCAAACCTAGCGCGGAGGACGATGGAAACGCTGACTCAGTGGTCACTGCCAACAGTGCCAGAACATTCTAGCAACATCAAGAGCGGGCTTCGAAAATGAGTCCACGGCTGCAATAATCAGCCGTCGAACAAATGCCAGAGGGTGGGCAAATGTCAGATGGGGAGCAGAAATCAGACGTAACAAAACTGGAGGCCGAAAACCGAAGGCTAAATTGAGAGATAGAGGCGTTGCGCAAAGAGCTAACTGTGTTGCGCTTAGCCATTAAGAAAAAGCCGGTAGCGCCTTCCCCAGCAGATGTTAAGCTGGGTAACCTTTCGATGCAGGGAATGACTTCGGTGGCAGAGATCGTGCATGCGACGATGAAGGAAACATAACGTGACATAGAGTATGAGCTCCTTATCATAGTCAAAGTCAAAGTCAAAATAATCTTTATTCAAATAGACTTCTTAAAAGTACTTTTGAATAGTCCAACATCTTTTTTCCCTACCACTCGTTCAGGAGGTCTTTTGGCTGATAAGAAGAACGAGCAAGAAACTCACCAGCTCTAATAAGAGTAATGACATTTACAAAAATCATGTCATTACCAGATCAATACATTATAAACAGAGAGAAAAAGAAACTATGGTCTTATAATGATAACATAATCATTTAATAATAATGGAAACAAGATAATGAGTTTAGAAGTAATCACCTATCCAGTTGCTTTATCATCTCAAGTCCAAGCGTTCTTATCTGTTATACTGGGTGTTAGGGGAATGCTTCCGAAAACGAAAACCAGTGATAGAGTAAGTGATTCTGGATACATTATAATGAAAAAATTATTACTTTATTTTTCAAAAAAATATGTTATTTTTATTTTTTTCATTTTTAGCGATGTAAAATAAGTTAAGTATTACTATTTTTTATCAATAAATTTGTCTATTTATTGATTTTCCATAAAAACGCAATGTAATTAAAACTCGAAAAAATCAGCTGATCGGCGGTGGACGACCCCGAGAGTTCAATAACCTTTGGTACCTTCAAAGGGCACTTTCATTCTCTTTCCTTCACCACTGGTAGAATGAAAAGAGACAGAAGATACGAGTGAGAAACTTCAGCGACATCTAGCGACGAAAAGCTCTTAGTTCTCTACGTTGCTAGTTTAGGTACCCATTTTCCTGTATTTTATTAAGAAAATGCAATGAAAACGCAATTACTAAAAGTAGTTTTAAAACGGCGTTTTGTTATTTTTCAAATTGTTATTTATAAATCATTCCCTTTCACGCAATAACAATAAGTAAAAACGAGAGCGAAGATACTGCAGGCCAAGCTCGTAAACTTCTAGATACATCTAGCGGCAAATCGCGGCGGTTTTGATGATATAGCGAATGAGAATGATAGATGCAGCGCCATCTAGTAGTGTAAAGCAAAATCAATCGGTAGTGTTTCCGTGTTAAGGGGTGCCACTTTTTAATGAGTAAATATCGTTTTTGAATAACCTACTAGATAAAATGCATGTTCTTCTGGAAAACATTTGTTTCGACTAAACATTTCAAAACGGTTTAGTAACTCTAGTATTTACAAAATTTTTATCTTTATAAAGTTTTTAAAAATAAAGCTTACATTACATGATTTTGATAAGTGCACTTTTTTATTTACTTGTCTTTAAAATGTGAGCTTTATTTTAATGAGTTTTTTTTACGTTAGCGCAGAAAAGTTTAAGACAAAAATCATTTGATTTTATTCAGAGCATGTAACTAATAACGATATCTTTTAACTCGCATAGTAATTTATTTAGGTTTTATAAAACACAAAAAGATCAGATAAATACATTTCATTAAAATGAGGGAAAGGTGTTAAATCATTTTTATTTCATCAAAATCTAAATGTATAAGAAACTTCATTTCTCCAGAAGTGTGTGTGTGTGTGTGTGTGTGTGTGTGTGTGTGTGTGAAATCATTAAAAAAGTAAACTTTATGAAAAACTATTGGGAGTCCCAATTGAATTTTTTCCCGATTCAATTTTAGCATAATTATTTCTCTTGTTTCAATTTGAAAACTATAAAAAAGCGGAATAGTTGTTTCTCTTAATAAATACTTACTTTGCATGACTAACCCAATAGTATAATCCTATCGGGTTATTCATGATTAAACGCGATGTTGAATTGTAAAACTTCACTTAGTACTTTTACGACAAACTTTATTTATAAATCTAAACACATAATTAATTACTATTAAAGTTGCTAAGTGAAATGAGTGGCAGCCCTAGATATCATTGCGAACCGCAGTGACCGGTGAGTGTGTTTATAAAAGATGCCGCTTCACTTTTCCGGTCCGTCCGCTTCCGGTTTCTGAGAATGCTGCCGTTACACGTAGCTCTAATTTTTTCCCTTAATTGGGTAATTTTTTTACATTTTTTTAAAGAAAGGTAAGCTATCTTTTAAATATCTATCTATCTTTTTAATATTTTTGATTACATGGTATTATTAATTTTCTTTTTTAAATTGAAGTTGATGTTATTGAAATAACATTAATCACTTTTAAAAATTTATTCGTATAACAATAAGTTAAGAGCGTCGCAAATAAGGTTGGTTAAGTTACGTTAGCCAATGTTCCTGCCAATCGGTTAACAAAAACGGTACCTGGATAATAATTTCTCTGTCTTACTTTTATTTATTAGGATACGGTGAAAACAATTATTAATGATGCACAACATTCTTTCAAACATTTTACTTATTTTGTCATAAAAATAATTTAGTATAGCGTACACTTTCAGACAATTTTCATTTGGTTTATTTCTGTATTATTAAAAATTACTTACGATATCAGTTCTTGTAATAATTCACAATGTTAAAACATAAATTTGATCGAACACGTAATGCACAATCCATTCAATTGCAGATTTCATTTCTAAAACAATTTTGGGAATTTGGTGAAAAAAGTTGCAACACTCGAATATTCAGTAGGAAGAACCGAAGAACGAATGATCGCGGATTCTTTGATATGGCATGAGGCCGACCAGTGGCAAAAAACTTTCCATCTCGGTTTGCGAATGCGTATTTTAAAGTTTATTTCGTTAAATTAGTTATCATAGTTTTTAGTTGAGCGTGTTAGGTTTATTTATTTAGTGTTTATTTTAAGTTTTATTAGACAATAAGTGCATCTCATCATGCCTAATGCGTATGTGTACAGTGCTCGTGAGTATGGGAACATGGTTATGTGTTTAGGAGAAGCACGTGGCAATGCTTCTCTAGCTTTGAGAATTTACCGAGAAAGATTTCCTAATGTGCATCATCCAGGAGACTCTCGAACCATTACTGCTGCGTTTCAACGACTGTTGGAGAATCAACCGATTGTTCCGGTGGCGGTCGGCGGTGGGCGACCAATAGACATTGCAGCCGAGGAGCGTATTCTCGATGTGATCCAACGCAACCCCCGTTTGGGCACGAGGACTGCTGCGAAGTTACTGCAGCGGCCAAATGGGCCCTCAGTTTCGCGGACGGTGTACAAAGTTTTGCGAAGAAACAGAATGCGGCCTTACAAAATTCATAAAGTGCAAGCTTTGATACCCGAAGACCTACCCCGTCGTCGCACGTTGGTTGTTGGATCAACAACAGCGTCTTCCAGGATTTATTCAGCATGTTATCTGGACAGATGAATCTACATTCACAAGGAACGGCATGTGGAATAGACGAAATTCACATTTATGGTCTGAAACCAATCCACGTGCCACTCAAGAGACTGGCCACCAAACCCGATGGTCGGTCAACGTTT